GCAGCACCTCCCGCAGCCACTGGGGAACGTGCTCTGCAGCGTGTCATGACCATGCCCCGGGGAAGGACACACCACTGTGCAAAGTGTGCAAAATGGAGAGGTGCCTTCTTTGCCTTCTGGCGCCCTTCTGCGCGAACTGCTGCACAAACTGCTGCGTCTGTTGGCTGCCTCTGTTGGCTGCGCTATCCAGCCTTTTGTTAGAGATTCACTGGCCTTTCAGAGGCCTCTAGGAACTAATGTAATAAGATGGCCTGTATTGGTCTTGTGAAGACAGCTTTTGCTTTTTCAGACTCACTTGGGAAACAAACCTGCTGCAAGGTAGTGCATATTTACAATAGCAGTCTCGTTAATGCTGCAGCCCCGGGTCCCTTGAGCTGCCTTGCCAGTGTGGTAATGTTTGTCATTCCCATGCTCCTGCAGGGCACTTTTCTCTGCAAGCGAGCACTGCAGATGCCATCTTCATTGTATCACCTGTTTCTTTTCAGTACTGCTTCCTTGATGTGGATGAGGTAATTAGCAGTGTGCTAATCTCCCTGTGTGGAGACCTTTGGGCAAGGGGAGTGAATTTGATTTCATAAGTTATGTCTTGGGATGGACTCTGGATCTTAGGGAACATTTTCTTGTGCTCCAGCAAAGCAGCAGAGGTTGTAGAAACTATTAAGAAGCAGCAGCACAGGCAGCATACTCTCTTTCAGAGAATGAACTGTCCAGAATTTCTGTTACCTGAAGTCCCACTATCCCAGGAAGTTGTAAAGTTTGACCTTTTCCATACAGTTTTGCAGACAAGGAAATAGGCAGCTGGCTCCATGTTGCCTTCCCATGAATTTTCTGTATCTGGGAAAGCTGCCAATACTGAGATTCACAGGGAAGCCTATGCAGTGCCTGGTGAACAGGCAGATTTGTATGTATGTGTTTTTACCAGCATAATCACATTGGCCTTGACAGTGGAAGTGCTGTATAGCCAAAGTGTTCTCAAGAGCTGCTTCTTCCATACAAAAAAGGCAAAGTAGACCCCAGCTGACCATTGTCTGTATCTCATGTGGATTAACAACTGAATGACAGTGAGAGAGCATGTGGTGCTCCATTGTGATCGAAATGCAGTAGTTTCGTTGCCTGTTGGGGATCGGTTGTCACCGTGGTTGCAGTGCTATGCTAACAGTACAAATATCTGGATTCCATGCAAGATGGATAAGGCTTGCAGCAAGAGGGGCAAGATCAGAATAAGACAGAATAAAGCGTCAGCAGTGTGAGAATGTGGTTTCTTGTCCTTTTGGTAAGGGGCGTTGCTGCTACCAACCGTACCTGCACAGCACACCTCAGCCTGGCCACTCAACTGTCGTGCGTGCTCGCTGGTGCTGTTCAGTTCTCTTACCCCGTTTCTCCTTACACAGCTGTACTTTGACCACACATGTTTACTACTTTCCTGCCCAACAGATGGGCAACAACATAAACCCAAGTATTAAAGAAGTTTTTTCTTTGTGGATCTCAGTCAAGAGTCCTGTTTGCTGTCTCTTATGAGTTACTAACCAGCACTGTTTTCCAGGCCTGGCTACTTCATCATTGCCATCTGGATTTTGTGGAGTTACATCAGCAATGAAGTCTCGCATGTAATGTGGCACAGGAAAAAAAAATCATCCAACAGTCCATCCATACTCACTTCGGTCAGTGTTATGGCAGGTCATTTGCTGGAGTAACTTGAGCTGGTGAGTGTGTTAGTGGCACTGCTGCACAAATAGTAGATGCTGGGCAATGCGGGCCTATAAGCAGAGACCTGACAAACTCTGCACCAGCACAGCCTGTTGTTTCTGAGGAGTGTGGTCCGTTCAGGAGCACTTGCTTCCTACTGTTGATGGACTAAGGCAGGCTGCTGAGCATGAGTGCAGCAGTGCCCTAAAATACTGCTCTGAGGGCATGAGAAAAATCTGGCCTCAAGGAAGGTGTTTATATTGGGGAATAGAGAACATGATGTGCACTCAGTGCTGTAAATACAGCTGTAACAACAGCTAACTGAACCACAACCTAACATGCTCAGTTATATTTACTCTTCAAGCACCCATGAGTTTACTGTTTGCTCCATTGTTAACAGTTCAGCATGTAGGTGTAGCCTGGCTTTTTGCAAATCAAGGTCAGAAATCCTACCCCAGCAAATTTGGCATTGCTCTTATAACTTCTGTTCAAGCAAATACGTATTTAAAAAAAGATCCAGTTTTGATGTGGAAAAAAGTGATAAGAGAAACCAGCTAGTCACTAGATAGTTGTTCCAGTGATTAATTTCCCTAAAAAATATGTGCCTTACTTCTCATTGGAGTTATTCTTAATTTCAGCCTCTGCATCTCATACTGCTCAACTCATGATAATTCAAATAGCCTTATTTTATCAGAAATTTCTTCCAGCATATTTGTAGACATAATTAACTGCGCACATAATTTGCTATATGAGCTAAAGAGATGTACTAGTCTAAGTCCAAATAGTTCCTCAAATTTTTTTTTTTTGGTTCTTTGCTGACATTTTATATATATTCAGTAGTGGGTTTTGGCTTTTTAAGTCCAGAGACAGCTGGACTGGACTGGTCTGTTTTATGTAGAATGCAATGATAACATCTCTGTGCTCTTAGCTACTATTTCTTTTCCTATTCAAGTGCTGCATTACACTGTTTACATTCAGTTAGCAATTTACTCTCTTAAGCACTCTTATTTAAATTCATCTCAAATTGGGTTTGAGAGCCTACTTCCTTTCTTTCTAGAAATACAATTTAACAGGATTTAAGTCCAGAGAGCAACATGAAGAACTAGTCTGTCCTTTGTAAAAACTGTACTTCAATGAATTATTCCAGTATAGACCTCAATAACTTTTTTTTTGATTAAGCAATTCTTTCATAAAACTCTATTGTGTAGTTAATTTCTTCATTACTTTCTTTTGTCATCAACTTTTTTAGTCTGCAGATTTTTCTTGGCAATTGTTTTATGTTTTCATCAGCATTATTGCTAAAGATAACACGTAGCTTCAGACTCTGGGATTCTCTAGGACAAATCCTATTTACAATTATTTCTTTGCAAACCATTACTAACCAGCGTTTAATATGTGCTCCACTGATCTTTGTATAGCACTGAAAAGCATGTGGAGCTAGGAACAATGCCTTGCAGAAAATCACCATGTCTATAGCCAGTTTTACCAACCCAGACTTGTAATTAAAAAATAATGTTTACAAAAATTAATCTCTGTGAAACCACCTTGAATGGTTTTACTTATAATGTCCTTTAATGACAACTCTTCTGCTGTTTTGCCTGGATGGATTTCAAACCAATTACCTGTACTTACACTGACCACTCATTTTGCCCTTTTTGAAATACTGGCGCAATGCTAAGGTTGTTGTATTTTGTTTCTTGCAAAGGGGGAGAGATTATCTTTTTTGTTTGTTTTCCTTAAGCCTCAAGGATTTCCTCATTGTTTTAAGGATCATTAAAAGCCATTAATAACAATGCAGAGAGCTTCTCAGGTGATTATCTAACAGTCTCCTCTGCAAGTTATCTAGTGCAGTAGCTTCAGAGTTCTGCCTTTAGCTTGCTTTAATGATGACAATGTCCAAAAATTGAGCTGTTCTGTCTAGGTATGCAGGAACTGTAAAACAGAGGACCTTACACAGAGACAACAGCACCAGTTTGTTATTCCTGCCAGAATGAAACAGCTCGACTGCTGTGTGTGGCTAACAAGAGTGAAATGCCTGCAGCACGCATCGTACACACAAACATATAGCTATGTCTAATTCCTGAAGGAGTGTATCTGACTTGTTTTTGTTTTTGTTTTTTTTAATCTCCAATGGTAAAGACACCACACCTTTGCCAGGCAAGCTCTTCCGCTGCTTAGTTTTCCTTACAGTAACATTAGGTGTAATGTGGATGTTTTGCTGTGCAGCTGCAGTGGGTTTGGGAGTGGACCAGCTCTTGGAGCATTTGGTCCCTGGTGCTTGCTGGGTGACCTGTGTGGGAAGCGTCCAGCTGGAGGGCTGATGTTGCCCTGGGACGCTGTTTGGCTGTGACACTAGGGATGGGACTGGCACTAGGCACAGCATTATTTGTTTCTTAGTGTGATGATTGACTCTGAGAGCCAGCTGTCTTCAAAGTTAAGTAGGTCAATTCCATAATTAAAATACAGCAGAGTTCTGGGTAGCTCTGGTGAGACTTTAATTAGTGCAGTGTCTCCTTTTATGCCCCTTTTATGCATATTGTATCAGACAGGCCTGTCACTTCGGTCCAAAAAGCTATCTGCGTTATACCTGAAGCTTTCCTAAATCAGAGGCATGCCTGTCCTCACCGTCACTGCTGTGGAATGAGAGGCAGCCCCTGGTTGGGGTGCCAGTTCTCATAGAGTACAACAGGAGAGTCTAGAGGCAAGGCAGAGGCACCCAAGCATCTAGGGAGAGCTGGAAATAATAAGCCTTCATAGGGCAGCAGCAGAGAGGCCACTGAACCGTGTGTGCCTGTCTCTATCAGGCTGCCAGTGGAAGGGCAGCATTGTGGCTGGTTGTATGGTGTGGAGGTACTGGCTTTCACTGAAGGCATGTAAACAAATGGGACTCAGCAAGCATGGGACTTTTTTATTATTTAAAAAAACAAAACAAAACAAAACATCAAGCAGAAGGAGGGAGGTGGCAATAGCAAGGGTCCCTGTTTGGACCCTATTAGCCCCCCTCCCCCCCCTCAAAAAAGCATTCTGCACCCCAGTGCTGCCAGGACACCAATCCACACATTTGCTCCTCTTCCTGATCTTAGAGCAGACCAGCCCAGTGTGAGGCCAGTCGGTCTGCTCCAACCCCTGGAGAAGAGGACAGTTACTGCTAATAGGAGACTGCATGTCTTCAGAGATTCCTGATGCAGGAGCTCTCTGCCATCACTAACCAATAGGCAAAGCCGCTTTAGATGTGGCTTTGATAAGCAGCCCACCTTGCTGCTCATCCTGCCAGTGCCAACTTAAACTTAGATTAAAGAAACTGATGGACAAAAGTTGGTCTGCAGCTGACACAATGGTTCATGATTAGCTGAAACTGAGCTGTGGAAGCAGCACAGAAATGCTTCCTACTGTCTTGCCCCCAGCTACGCTTTCATGCTGCCTGCCTGACATCAGCTGAAAGGCCTGGCCTCAGGTCAGCTTGCTGCTCTAAGTGCAAGCCAGGCCTGCCCACTAAATAAAAATGTCACAGGGTTGTGGCTTATCCCATAGCCACAATTGCCAAAGCCAACATAAAAGAAGCAGCAGGCCACAGCACTATGGGAGAGGGGAGGCTGGGCAGGCCTGCCCTTACCGCAGAAGTATGTTCTCATATGGCCTAATGCAAAGCTTTAGGGCTAAGATTTCAAAAGGCTGAGCACTGACAAACTATAGCAGCTACCTAAGTAGAAAGTCAGTTAGAAGAAAAAGAGAACGTGAGGCGGGAATGTGGACAGCTCAGTTTCTAAAACTATCCAGATTCTGAATCTCAAAGTAACAGACTTGTTATAATGAGCTTCAGTATATAGATACTTAGTTAATAGTCATTTCCAGCAAAGAGCAAATGTATGAATGGGAGAAAAAAAACCCAAGCAGATCAGCTCCGGACCTGTTCCCCAAGCTCATAAGTAAGCAAGGTTTTAGAACCTCAAGCTAAATCACAACAGACTAATCTGCTTGCTCGCCTTGATCAGCCAGACAATATTCTAGAAAAAAAAGGGAAAAGGGTTATCTGGTCTGTTTGGCTTTCAGTAAAGAAGCTGCTACAGTGCCAAAAGGGAAACTAAACTCAAAGTCAAGAACAGGCTCAGACCTGTGAATGAGGAATGGGTCACAAAGGGATGCCAACAGTGTAGCTGTCTACAGCGAGGTGCAGCTAACAAGTTTCTTAATCATCAGTTTTGAGTCCAGTCTTGTTTACTGTGTCAGTTAGTGACTTTGACAAGAAGACAGGGAGGAAGTGTTTTCAAATCAGAGGCGAGTATGGCATACAGAAAGCACTGCCCTGGGGTAAAGGAGTGAAGTGAGTCATCAGGTGAAACTCCACTGTGCATGCAAGCATCATGCACATGGCAACGTGTAAGAGCCATTTCAATTCTAGGCTGAGGCTCAACAATTGAGACCTGGAGAGGAGGCAACCAGGAGCGCATTTGTCATCTCAAGAGGCATGTGGCATGGCATTCAGGTCACCTCACATTAGTCAGCCATGGAGCAAGTATCAACAGCTGAGTAGGCCACCCTGAGCTCCCTTTACTGCCAAGAAGAAACAGGCACGCTAGGGTGAAGTTCATCTGACCTCATTTGAACATTTGCTTTAGAGGACTCACATCCCTGATGCCACCAGTCACACCAGTAAGGGCAGTGCTGGCCCTAAAGGGAAATTGGATGAGATGTGCAGTAGTAGCACTAACCCTGCAGGTATCCAATGACATAGGGCTCATCCATGCACTGTGAGCATGAGAGGAACAGATCAGACTGGGTTATATCCCACATGATGTTTCCAGTAGATGAGGAGTAATATTAATATTGCAGTGCAAAGCCCTAGTACAATTGTACCTATAATATGAGTACTGCTGTGGCACATTCAAAAGAAATGAAGTCAAAGAGGGGCAGGTCCTGCCAGCATCTATGTGAACTTAGGAGAAATTCTGCCTGACTTACAAGAGATGTCCAGCAGTGCACAGCTTGTCTGACCCAGCGGAACTAGACGAGGGGGACATGATTTCTGTCTGTTCATTCAAGAGGTTGGGGTGGAGTTGGTATTCACTGACCATGAATGAGTTTAGGCTAAAATAAGTAGGAGAGCTACAAACCTCAAAGGAGTGAGGTGTGGTGGTAAAAGAAGGAATGAGAAATCAAATGGATTTTATGAAGGATCTTAACCAGTTCATTTTCAAGATGATATGGCATTTTGGTCCTGACAGCAGAGGCTTGGATCAGTGACTCAGCTTGTTCATTCCATTCCTGTGCTTTTTTTCTCCTACATATCCAGGGAGAACAAGTGCTTTTCTAAGAGATTACAGCTCTGAACCTGTTCCCCAAGTAAACAGACACAATGGCCTGCTCCTGCCCACCCTACAGCCTACAGGTTAGTTTGTCCCAGAGTAGCTGGGGGCATCAATGAGGTTTGAACCCTCACAGCAGGCCCCTAGACAGTTGACTGCTTCACTTCAGCTGAGGAGAAACACTTCAGCTGAGGAGAGACCAGCAACCTGAGTCAAAGCAGAAAACTCTTAACACCAACCCCAGCCCAGGAGCTGTGAAGGTGCATTCACCACACCCAACTGCTGCTCTTGTTCAGGGCATGAGGGCCTCCTCAGCTGGAAGACAGTTGGGCTGCCCAGCCAGAGCATACACTTGGACCAACACAACCCCCAAAATCCTCCTCTATGAGTCTCCTTGGAGTCAGGATGATGCTTCCTACGTGGTCCTGTTTGCAGCATCAGATTTGTCTGCTCCTCGCTTGCGCCCCGGAGCATTCAATGAAGCCTCAATGACAGCACGGATGGAGTGGGAGGTGTCCAGGCGCATTCGGGCTTCCTGCACTGAACAGTTCCTCAACAAGCACAGGAGAGCTGTGGGGACAACCTGCAAGGAGAGGAAAGAGGGCATCAGTGCATCTGCTGGACCACCTCAAATACCCAGACACCTGGGGGACAGCAGCACTTATGCATCACGTTGTGCCATGTGGACCCTCCCTCTGTCCTGATACAAACAGCCCAAGAGCCAAGGGCTCCCTGCTCACTGGCACTATGTCCCTGGTCTGCCAGGGAAAGGCTTTACTGGTGCTTCGCCACGGTTTCTTCTCAGGTGGCATCTCTGCTCAGGCTGGCATTCAAAGGTTAGTTCCCATCCTTTGCACACAGTAATGTGTTTAACTCATGTCTGGCATGAAAGCAACCAGGCAGAGTGGGGCCAGGGCTGAGTTTCCTGGTGTCTTGTGCCATGGAGAGAGGGATGAAGCATGAGTGGTGAACAGGTTCCCAATTACCTTGTTTTTTTCAGTTGCTACCACAATGTGTGTAGAGATCTCTTTGCCACGGAGGTCATCTAACAGCACCTCAGAGTCATAGATGACCTGCAGGAGGCTATCCAGACACCTGGCCTGGGTGTGCCCTGTGAACCGCTGTGAGGAGAGTGCCACACATTAGAGCCAGCACAGAGATGGCCCACACTGAATGGGCAGAGGTGGTGCAAAGTGAAGATGAAGCATAGCCACAGACAATAATGCCAATATCTGTGTGAACGTCCATATGTGTCCATGCAGATCTACAAGCAAGACAGACAGTGCAGAGAGGGGCACATGCTGGCACAGCCAATAACCAGTCTGTGACAGTTCTCTGCGGTCCTATAATGAGTCTCATTGCCTTGCTATTGCAGCATCGGACAGTGACATCTCATTTGCCTCATGGAGTCAATGGAGTAGAGTAACTTAGGCAGGAGGGGATTTCTAGCGGTCCCTAGTTTGACCCCCTAGATCATAGCAGGTCCACTTAGAGCAGGTTGCCCAGGGCCTTGTGCTGCTGATTTTGAGTATCTCCAAGCATGGAGATTCCACAGCCTCTCTGGCCCTGGGTTCACCCTGTTTCAGGAGCCCCCAGACCCTCAGAAACCTTCCTCAGGAGCCTTATGCAAACCTACCTCAGGAGCCCTCAGAGCCAGGTAAGGCCAGGCAGTGAACTCTGAAGGGAGGTTTCTGGCCCTGCCCAGAGTCCTCCCACCTTCCTCCTGCTGCCTCCTCAACTTCCAGCTTGGCAGGGCTCCAGAGACCAGAAATGCACTGGATGTTGAGCTGGCCAGAGGTCCTCTAGACCTCTCCTGGGATCAGAGCCAGACTCCTCACCATGGCCCTAGAAGCAGAAATTGCTAGGAGAGCTGGCTGTTGCCTGTGCTTTTCTGCATGGTGCCAGTTTGTCCTGGGGCAACACCAGCAGCCAGCAAAGGGCCTTGCCTGGAGCACCGTCCTCCCAGAGAGCAGCCTGGCTTTCTCCTTTCCTTACAGTGAGTTTGGTCTCTTCTCTCCTCAGGCCAGAGGACTCTCTGTTTCCTGGCTTCAGGGCCCTGACATGGAGACCCCTACTTTTCACTGGGCTGTTGCCCTGGAGCTCAATACCTGCAGGATGGCCACTGCCCTCCAGAACAGCTTGGCGTTGCTGATCCGCAAGTCTACCGTATAGTTGCGGAGGATTTTGCCCTTCAGGACGTGGGCCCCAGTGCTGACTGTGTTGAGAATCCACTTGGTGCTGAGTTCTCGCTGGAACTTCTGTGTGAAACACAGAAACATGATCTAGAGGAACAAGGCTGCCAGCGAGCGAGGGCTTCAACCACCTCTGCACCCAGCACTCTTTGGATATAGCCCAGGGCCGTGGGGCAGCACAGGACATAGGAGCTTTACCAGACCATGGACAGGACAAGTTGGCTGATGGCCAGTGCCATCCCTGCCAGGAAAGGCACCGCAGCAGCACTGTCTGCATCTGCAATGGCTCCGGCACCTCAGCTTGACTCTAACCCACTGGCAGCTGAGCAGATTGTGGCCAAAGTGTAACTATCCAGGCACATGAGTGGCAGTGTGGGGGCTCTGCGCAGGAGGCTCACCTGCCCACCATGATCCCGAGCTGCTGCAAGACAGTCCCTGCGGCCCTCTTGTAGCCCGTGCTGGCTGCTCTCCAGGGCACAGGCCTGCCCTGATTAGGCAGGGGGGGTTGTGTTGGCCCTTTGGCACGTCAGGGAGCTCCCTGCAGACTTGGCCCAGTGGCTATGACCTGAGCCCAGCACACAAACGTTGTCTGTCTCAGAGGGAAGCAGCCTGAGGATGATACCTGGATAAAATTCCCCTCGTACTCCAGGAACAGTATAGGCCACATGATGCTGATGATGGCAGGGAACAGCTTCTTGAGGGAGGCCTAGTTGGAAAAAGGGAAAAAAGCTGCTCATACAGCAGGGACAACCGAGCTCCTTGTCCTGCAGTGCCAGCTGGCGCATCCAGGGGCCAGGAACACAAGCAATTGGGGAAGGGGGAGCAATGGGGCCTTGGTACTGCCCGACAGGCTGCTGACAGCAGTAGGGAGTGGGACAGATGCATGGAGGGTGCAAAGGAGCTAAGTGGAAGGGCGAGAACAGACCAGGGCTCCCTCCACATCCCAAATGACAATGACAAACAAACACCAAAAGGCAGGGGGTAGAGAGCACACCAGCATGTGGCCACTTGTGTCCCCATGGGAACCTAAGTAAGAAAGGTCAGAGCAGCCCCAGGGCCAGGGTACCTGGGGCAAGAATCTCTCTTTATCTCTCATTTCAAGGCAGTGCTAACATAAAGGCATCTTGTGCAGCCCTTGCCACAGCATGTATGTTAGATACAGTGTGATTACGGTGACACGGGCATGCCCTGTGATACTGTGCCTTACAGGCTGCAATGGGGCAAGGTCTCCTTTCCTCTTACCGGCAGGTACTGCCCAACTGTGGCATGAGACAGTGCTTGGATGTTTGATGTCTTCTCCTTCACCTGAATCACAAGCTCCTCCACCTCGGCAAGGTCATCTTGCGACAAGGAGAGAGATGGGGACAGAGAGCTCAGCATTAGCTAATGGGAAAAACCGCAGGAGAGAGCGAAAAGCCCATTTCCAGGAGACCCAGCCAAAGCAGCCTGCGTGTATGCGCACATGAACACAGCCTCCACACATATGCACATGCCCTTATGCACATATCCACAGGATCCATATGCACAAAGCCCTGATACACACACATGCTGCTCACACACACAGTCCATTCAAACATAACCTTCACCTGTGTCCCCGCACTCACATACATGCACATGGTCTATATACATACACTCACACATGCACACAGGATCCCTGTGCACAGCATCCACACATGCCCTCCTAACACACAAGCTCCTCACACTTGCACATAGGCCCTCCCACCCACACACAGTTCATGCCCATACACCCCTCACATGCACATAAATGTGCCCCTACATATATATGCACACAGTCCATATACACAAAGAAATAAGCCTGCACACACGCACATGTGCCCACACATGGTCCATGCATACACACACACAACCCCTCACACACTCATGCACATGCCCCGCACTCCTGCAAAGCCCTGTGTCCCACATGCACATGATTCCTCAGGCATGCACTCCTATGCACATGCCCCCCACACATATACAGACACATGCATGTACTTGCCATGCATGTCCCTCACATACATATATGCACATGCCCTTATACACACACATGTATACGGCCAACGTACACGGCCCTCTCACACTCATCCCTTCCCACGCACATGCTTGCAACCCCTCCATGCATGTGCCACTTGCACACATATACCCCTCATCCACACCACACTCCCACTCCCCCAACACACTCCTGCCCCCAAGCACCGCCATCTGCTCCTCAAGCCACAGCTGTCTGCCTGCTCAGCACCCCTGTCCACCACCCCCACAAATCCTCAGCAGCCCCGACAGCTGCCCCCCTCGCTCACGGTGTCCCTGATGCTGCCAGCTGCCCCCGTCTTGCCTCACAGACTCATAGAATCACCGAGGTTGGAAGGGACCTCTGGAGATCATCTAGTCCACCCCACCCTGCTCAAGCAGGGTCACCTAGAGCACATTGCATGGGATCACGTCCAGGTGGGTTTTGACTATCTCCAGCGAAGGAGACTCCACAACCTCTCCGGGCAACCTGTTCCAGTGCTCACCATCCAGGGTGAAGAGGAAAAGGACTGTGTCTAGCTCTGTTAGGGAGGGCAGAATCGTCTTCACAAAGGCCTCCTGAGAGAAAGCAAACCGTGGGCTCTGCAGGGAAAAGAAGTTCCTCCTTACAAAGGCACCAGCAATGCTTCAGCCCCCTTTGCTGTAGGCCCAGTTGTATCCCTGCACTCATGTCTGCTCCTTTGATACCAGTGCTTCCACAGCCTCCCCCCCTCACTCTCTGCTGTGAGGAGCCTTCATACTAGCCTGAACCAGGCCTGTTGCAGGGGAATGGGGCAGGATGGCAGTACTCAGCACAAGCATGGCATCCCGTGCCATCTGCCTCTCCCCCCTGCATCTGGGCAGCACCCCCTCCTCGAGCACTGCACACTCCTGGGGCCCCGTTCCAACCTTGTCTGCCCCCCACATCCACACCCAAGAGCCACCACATCATCATGGGGCAGCAGGAAAGGAGGAGCCCTAGGGTCTGCTCCCAACCTGCTCAGAGCAGGGCCAACAGGACCAGGGCATGAAGCTGTGTCCTACCAAGGTTTGATCTTGCCAAGGAAGGAGACTCCACAGCTTCTCTGGGCCCTGATCCAGTGCCTGATCACATTCATGGGGAAAACAGTTCTCCTTGTATCTAACAGGATTTTCCTGTTTCCCAGCTGGTGCCATTGCTTCTCATCCTGTCCCTGTACCCACCAAGAAGAATCTAGCTCTGCCTTCCCCACTCTCCCATTAGGTAGTTGAGGATGGCCCTCTCCTAGTGTGTCTTGTGCTCCAGCCCCAGCCAGCTTGGTCATCTCCTGGGCTTGTTTCAGGGTGCCCATGTCTGTCTGGTACTGGGGAATCCAGATAGGAGGTAGCCAGCTGGCATCTCACAGTACGGAGCAGAGGGAATCTTTGCTTGCTCTGGTTTTTGTCCCTGAGAATCCACCGATTGCCAGTGCAGCAAAGCAGCACAGCCATCTCATGCTGTCAGGAGATCTACAGGAGCCCCCAGCCAGCAAGACACTGTCCCAGAAACTCCAGCAGCCTGGGTCTCCCTGTTACGCATATATAGCCAGCTCTTACCTGTGCTAATAGGTCTGTCTCTTTGTTAAAGAACTCACTGTGATCCCCAATTAGGAAGCCTCGCACATCCTTAGAGTCTGTGAAGAAAATTACAGGGAAACAGGCAAGCAAGCCACATGGGAGGGAAATGGCAGTTGTGCAGGACCCTGGAGCAAGAATGCCAGAAGAGAGGGTAGGGACAGGACTGGCTTCCATGACAGCGTCTCACTGGACTAGGTGTAATCCCAGGACCCTCCTTAAGCCACTCACAATTATCAGGGATCCCCTGCCCTTGCTTTTCAACCTCTGCCCTGCTAGGGACACAGCATTCAGGGCTCTGAGGCATGACCTGTCTCTGCCACACAGCATCGTCCCTTACCTGCCCCAAAGGTTGGGACGCACTCCACACCATCCATGATCGCAATGAGGCCCAGTGTGTGCCAGCCCACCATGTACACACAGGCCTTCTTCTGCAGACTGGAGAAGGTAGAGCACAAGGTAATCACTGAGCGGCAGTGCTGGGAGCTTTGGAGAACCCAGCACAGCGTGACTGCCAGTGTAGGTGTGCATGGGGGATAGATAGTGCAGCAAGGAGAGGGGGACTGCAGCACCGGAGCAGGAAAAGCCAAGCACAGGGCAATCAGCACTGTTGGGTGCAGGAATAGCCCAGCACAAGGTAGCCAGAGGTGCTGGATGCAGGAGTATCCCAGCACAGGGTGATCAAGTGAGGAGAATGCTGGGGTAGGGAAAGCCCAGAATGGGGAGACTGTAAGGGGGGTGGGAGGAGAGAATGGGGAGACTGTGAAGGGGGTGGGAGGAGAAGAGAGGGTTGCAAGATGCAGGCAGAAGAGCACAGACCATGGGATATTTGGAAACTGCCAGCATCCACATCCTCAGGGGATGGAGCTGGCAAACATAGGAGGGAAGCTGTAATTAACATGTGGTAGCATTTGAGGTGCACAGCACAAATCCAGGCTATGGTGAAGCTTGCCTCCTGCATGTTCTTATTTGGATGCTTGCAGAACCAGGCACTTAAATGGCTTTTGCCTGAAGCTGTGCCCACTGGCACCCCAATCTTTTCCTTCATCCCCAAAGCCAGCCTTGCTGCTGCAGGTAGGAAGGGACTGACAGCACACCTCACCTGGTACCTGCTTGCTTCAGTAGGGCAGCTATCTTTCTGCTCTGAGCATAGGTGACTTTGTGCGCCCGTTCATATGTTCTCAGGATCTCCACAAGGCACCTAGACAGAAAAGGGGTGCTGTTAAAGCTCACAGGAGCCCATGCTCCCTGTCAAAAAGGGCCAGGTGCTGCATCCTCCTAGGACAGAGGCCAGCCCAGGTGCCATTCATAACAAGCAGCAGCAGCCAGATAGAGGGCTCTTTCCAGAGATCAGCGCCAGCTGTGACAACAGCTGTATGTCATGGGGAGGCTGCCTGCTTGCTTGCCAGAACTCAGCAACCCAACACTCACTTCTCTGAGATCTCAATCTCCCTGGAGACTGTCTTGTGCGCTGCCAGCAGCAGGGTCTCCAGCAGGATCTTGGTGGCACTCCCACCTTTCATCCGTGATGAGCCACAGATGCCTTCAGGCTGGTGAAGTGGGAGAGAAAGAGAAATTGTGCAGGGGTATCAGCCACTAAACATCCCCACCTAGGCAGCGACTCTCAGGAACACAGGTGTCATCCAGAGCAGGAAAGCTAGCAGGACAGTGCATGCCTGTTGCATTTTGCCCCACTGGTGTCCTGCAGCAAAATCTGCTGTGCTTGTTTACTGCCTGGGCTTATCTCTGCTGCAGGGGACTTCAGACCCTTCAGCATTGTAGCAGTCAGGATGGAGGCCATGGAACCCACTAATGTGAGCAGTGAGGGTGGTAGTTCTGCGTAGCTGGCAGGACGCTGAACTCCTGTCCCCTGCACCCTCTGTTAACACAATTACACAGAAAAAGCACTCTGTGATGCAGTCAGAACCCAGATGGTCTGAGAGGAGAGAGGTTGCTGGGCTTAGGGGTTGTGAATGTCTTTGTAATTTACCCAAACATTGACACTGCAGAGACGGGTCTGCTAGCCCAACTGCCTTCCACCCCAGGTTCCCCCTTGTCTTCCATGATCCCTGGGCCATTTCTCATCATAACACTCCACGGAAAATGAGAAACAGCTTTGCCAATTGGGGAGAGCACTCCAAAGAGGCCAAGTGCCATCCCTGAGGAGACCACAGCTTTTGGGGAGTGCTACCCACCCCCACAGCAGGGTTGAGGATGAAGGCTTTGTGTGATTCCTGCAGCTTCTGCATCCGTTCAGCCACCTGGCGGAAAGTGGAGTGCCAGCCCTCTATCTTATCATTCCTGTAGAAGACATGCAGCATGACAGAAGACATATTACCTGACCAGGGCCTCATGCCCCTGTGAGGCTCTGCCCTGTGAGGGAGATAGATAAGTCTGCAGCTCTGCTTCAAGGCTCCTCATCCCCTGACAGAGCTTTTTGTGCTCCCTGCCACAGCCAAATGTCTAGGGAGAGCCTGGGACCATCCTGACTCTCAGCCTCTTTCTATGAGCCATACACTTACATACCCCCGAGAGACAGAGGATCCTGCCTGACCTAAAACCTTGCTCTGCTCCCACATAACTTTAGTGAAATAGAGTTAAGGCAGCACTGTGGTCCTCACCTGCCTGCAGAGGCTCTCAGTGCCCCTGATCCCTGCATGGCCTTCAGGAGCTTTTTATCCAGGACAATCTTGTTTCCCAACAGAGTCCTCTCACCCACCCTCTCAGTCCTGAGCCTGCTTTGCCCATCCCTGCCAGCTAAGCCCTGCTCTGCCAGGCTGTCCAGGAAGTGACACCCCCCACCCCCAGCCTTGGCACAAGGCACACATCCAGATCCCAGTGGAGACAGGCTTGGGCTGGCCAGGCTGGATGGGAGCACCTCTATCTGGTAGGGACCTGCCTCCAGGCTCAAGTAGGATGACTGAACCCTCCTCTGACACCCCTTAAACTGTTGCAGGCGTTACCTGGCCATGCTGACAGGATTGAATCCCACCAGGACTGGCAAGAAGATGTCCAGATTATTCATGCAGAAATCCAGCTGTCCTGCCACAAATGGAGCCTGGACCAAGGCAAAACAGTAAAACCCTCTCCCAGTTGTGTAATGTGCAGAGCACAGCAGAAGTGCTCCCAAATGCTTAATGCCACAAAGAGGCTTGTACATATGGAGTCAGAAATGTAATCCTAATGTCTGACCAAGCTCCTGCAAGCCAGGAGCCACCCAAGCTGCTGGTGGTACAGGAGGTCACAGCTTGCTCTCAGAGATATGTCTGGACAAATGCTTTCTCATGATGTTTCTAAAGGCCAATCTTTGGTTATTGTCAAAAGCCAAATGTGTGGCTGTTAGCATTTAGCAGAATGTATTAGCAATGCAATACCCTACGTTGTGTCATCAGTGGCATTCATAAACTTCTGAAGGATTTCAGAATGAGTCCGTGGTATCTCAGCAAAGCGCTTTAGCTTAACTACATTATGAATTACAGTGAAACTGGTGCACAAAGGATATGCTGCCTGCTGTGAAGCAATATATAAATATAAAATGGGGACTGCAGAGGGCAACTTGGGGAGCAGTATCTGAAGACACTTTTAAAGAGCCTCAGGGATTTCTGTCTGTCTCATGCCAGCTGTTAACCTGTGGCAAGGAGTCACAAAACAGTGTCCATCCTTCAGTAACAGGCAGAAGTAACGAACCCCCCAGCCCAGGTACCTCAGATGTCCACAGACCTACCCAAGGCAGCTGCCAGCTGCTTCCACTATGGCTGATTGCCACTGATCTTATCCACCCTGAGTGTGACTGCCCCTCCACATGCCAATCTTGCTCCCAGCCAACCTGTAGTCATCACTGAAGCACTTACAGATAAACCACAGGAGATGCCAACGAAAACCACTTTCTTCTTCCCATCACAGACCTGAGTTAGGAAAAAAAAGGGGAAACTGTACTGTGCTAGTGGGAAAAACCATTCCTCCCTATATTGGCAAGGGGCCCTGAAGCAACCTGGTGAAGGTTTTCCAGGACTGGAAAAAAGAGGCTCCTCATTGCATTGGCTGAAAGAGAAACACCATCCTCACTGGAAGACGTGGATGAGGGGCCTTTGCACCATACTCTGTCCAGGCACTGGAACAGGAAGGAGTTCACCTGAGGCACACAGCAAGCAGGAACCCGGCTATGCGGTTTCTTGCTATCCTGCATTTTGTCATTGCCCTGTCCCACATCTCCCCATCACCCCAGTTCCTTGGTGACTTCATCCTCCAGGCAGGTCCATACACACCCCAATGGGCAGCCAGACTTCACTTCTATCTTCCCCATCCCTTGACCTCACCTTCCTCAGCTCCTCAATCCCCAGCAGAGCACTGTCTTCCAGCCCCTCCTGAGACATCACCAAGGATCTACAAGGAAAACACAGCCAAGTTGCAGTTACCTGTGGGCAGAGCTGGAACTTCCCCCCAGACAGAGCAGAGGTGCTGGCAGACACTCCTTCCTCACAAACCAGAGCACACATGCCCATGGTCTCAGCCCGCTGAACCTCTTCTGGTGCAAGACCAGAGCTATTCCCTGTGGTATCAGGTCAGGCAGCACACACCTCCACATCTGTTGCTGGCACAAGTGCTGCAGTAACCAAAAAGCAGGGCCCTGGCTTGGCACAATGGCTCAGGCTCAGGTTTGATCAAGTCAGTGGAAGACAGTAGGTGCCTCTGTCCATGGACAGCACCGGGTGCCCCAGGGCCTGCGTGAGGTAAAGTACGCTGTCATCCACAAGCAGAGGTCCCACTAGATGTTGTGCTTCTGCCTAGAGTCCTCTCTTGGGAACAGACACCTCTTGCAGCAAGAAGCAGGCCATTCTGCACCGTCAGATACAGGTTTTTTTTGCAGGCCCAGGCAGACCCGGCTTCAGGTTGCTTTTCCACCTGGTCTCTGGACTTTCTTTGGAGGGAGGAGCTGCTGCTCCGCAGCTGAGTCTCCTTCCCTGGAGAGATTCAAACCCGCCTGGCCGCGGTCCTGGGAAATATGCTCTGCTGATCTCCAGAGGTCCTGTCCAACCTAAACCATTCTGTGATTCTGTGAAGTCTCCATCAGCCCAGAAGAGGCTGGCTTGGTCATGCAGTGACAGGTACTGATCTCAGAGAGGTTCTGGCTCCAGCCACTGCTCACAGCTCTTGCTGTGTATGTCACACACAAATAAATTATGGGCCAAAATTCCATGGGATAGTCCTCAAGGTAGGGCCCATCATGATGATATCAAGGGATGGTGAACTCAGCAGTCAGGGGAGTCCTGTTGTACTTCAGCCAAGGGTTAATTTCACCTTCTTTCTAACTAGAACATTTATGATTTTATTCCTAGCTCTTGACTCTTACATCACTTCTGTTCATAGATCAAACAGCCCTCTAATACCTAGCATATTTTCCCAAGTTTGTGCATGCATTTAATAACCTCTAGGTTTCTTTTCTAATAACTTTAGCTCTTTCTGCCTCTACTTCTAAGACATTTCTTAATCCTCAGATCATTATCTGTGTCTTCTCTGTATTCCCCAAACGTTCATGTTCTTTTCAGGTGAGATTCCAGGTCAGGCTCCACCACTCCAGAGCCTGTTTCCCTCAGCACAGACAGAAGAATAATCTTCCTCACTGTTCCCCTGTTTACATAGCCATAAAGGACGATTCTTGTCCATGCTGCTCCTGAATCCTTGTCAGCCACTCCTCTGCAGGATGCAGGCTTATCTGTAGGTACAGCCTGTGTTCCTTCATTCTGAATAACTGCATTTGCCATATTAAACGCATTGGCTATGTCTGCACTAGTAAATTAAAGAAGGCCAGGGACATCCTGGGCACTGAAGCATGATCATCCATGCTGTTTTATTTTTATTAGAACAGCCCAGGACAATTAACACTTTCCCAAACTATCCCCAGGCACTCTGCAGATGTTAGCATGGCCCATGGCCCATTCCTGATAAGCAGTCTGGAGGTATACGTCCTGTTTTGGAGAGGTGAATAGTAGTGATAGGACAACTCTGTGCCACCTAGCCTCAGGGCCTGAAAATATTACTGAGCACATTTAATTAACTAGTATATCAGAACCATTTCGTCCAAATGGGTATGGTCCTTTGAGAGCTCTGCAGGACTGTCCTGGCATGAGGATTACTTACCCTGTGCCAATGGCTGTTATCCACAACTGCTATGAATACTGTTGATGTATTTACTTCTGGATCATTGAGCACATCTGGGGCTAATAGTGCTCCCTGCTAAATTCCCTGTGCAACTTTCCCTCCAGTGGGGATATACAGAGTAGGGTGGGAATAGAGTCCTGCTCTGTAATTGCTGCAGCTTAGGATGGCTCAGGGCTGAAGTGCACCAGGCCTGCCTGTAACTGGTGACCCAGTAAGAAAGGCTCTCTGCTGCCCCCCAGACTTGAAAGCCACTCACTGATCTGCTTGCCTGACCCATAGAACACACCTGCAGGGCTGAAAGCAAACTCTGTGCTTTCCCTTACCTGCTTCCTCCAGCAATGATGTATGTGTAACAGGGCTGCTGACCCAGGCCTTTTAGCAGCTTATTAAAGGAAATCTGTTGATAAAAAACAAGGACACAAGTAACAAAGCTATGAACTAACCCTCTCGGGAACTCCCTAGCCAGTGTAATGCAGAAGGCCAGATTGCCTGTGAAGGCCAGGTGAAGCAGACACCAAAGTGACAGGCCTAGGAGATCTCCAGAGCCAGGCAACAGTGTCTGCATCACAGACCCCAGCTCTGGTCAGAAACGACTGAGGAGACTTCTGATATGGAAAGCTCTTCCTGCAGGGGCTTGTGGTTTGCCCCATAATAAACAGAAATAGGAACTAGAGATGGGAACTGGAACCTAATGGACTCTCCCAGCACTGTCAGCTAGACCAGCACAGTGTGTCCTGCCCTCCAACCCACCCTCCCAGCCTTCTGCCAGGTATTCTGCTGCCATCTGATGACAGCCCCAGGTCACCTGTAGAACCTTGAGCCCTCAGGATTTCCTGTGGCTCTACCTAGGCACCCCGACCTCTTTACATCTGGTGCCAAACTGGACTCCTTCGATTGCAGCTCTAGCTCAACAGCCACTCCAGGAGAGCTGAGGTATGAGTGGGAGCAGGGTGTGCTGCCAGTCTGGGGGCACTGGGCATCTCTGGGCAGTGTCTCTATGGAAGGGATGGTCTATATGAGTATGGGGATGGGGCTGGAGTACACTCAGAGACTAAGGTGCCCAGTGTCTTGGGTGTTGGAGCACCCTCTGGCAGACGGTGGCTCTGGCTAGAGCCTCTTTGGAGAAGTGAGGCCCCCAGCTTGCTTTGGCAGGAGCCGACTATTGCAAGGGCTCTGGTGGGGTGGAGTGCCTGGTGGGAGAGGAGGGCGTGAGCATGGTGTGAGGGCTGGGAGGGGAGGGGATGTGCTGCTCCATAGCTGCTAGGTGAGTCTGCTTGCGTGAGTCTGGCTGAGTGCCCAAGGCTGAGCATTGTCGGGACAAGGAGTAACACTGGGGCTCCTCAAGGAGAGTGCAGGCTGGGGCCCTGCTCTGGACACTGTCTCAGGCCCAGCACACAGCAGAGATGAGAATTATGTGGGAGGAGAGGAGCTACTCACAGCAATGAGGAAGGCCAGTCTGCCAGACGTGCCGCCACCACTCAGGACAATGAGGCTGTTGTCTGGGTCCTGCAGAACAGAAAGGGCAGGATGAGTGTCTGGTGCGGGTGTGATACACACCCCAACAGCAAGGAGAACTGCAGGCCCTGGTGCTAGAGCTGCGCCTGCCCTCAGGACCTCTGTGGCCTCACAGAAAGGCTCCCTACACACCAACGGCACTGCACCACGCTGGCAGCCCCGTGCCGTGCTTGTGGCCCCGTGCAATGCTGCAGCCCCTCACCTTTAGCACCTCCTGCACTTTGCTGACGACATCAGTCATGGTCTTCAGCACCGACTTGCTGTACAGCCTCTGGGGAGGGAGAGCAGGACTCGAGGGAGCACAGACCTCGCCGGAGTCCAGAAACCGGCATGCGCTGCCCAGGGTGAGGGGTGCGGGTAGTCCCAAGCTTAAAGCTGAGGCTGTCCCCCACAACCTGTGCAGGGGCCAGAGGGCTCAGCGTGGTGTAGCCCCAGGCGCATGCAGTGGACATGCCTGAGCTAAAATGGTGGTGGTAACTACCACTGGCAGTGGTAGCTACAGGGAGTGCAGGTGAGGAGTGAGGGAGGGGCAGGCCGGGGACCAGTGAGGGCTGGCCTTGTCCCCCTTGAAGGCCTGCCATGGGAGTGCCTCTCCTCACAGTGGCCTTGCTGGGGTCACAAGATGGTGCTTGCCCCGTGCCAGGGAGGATGCTGCCCACTGGGGCACCACGAGACGGGTCCTGGTGAGGACCCCTTCCACAGAGCAAGGAAAGATGGCTGCCAGGGAGTGGGATATGTCGGGCTGGGTCCTGAGGTACCTTGTAGTTGAGCAAGGCCTCCTCCTCCTCCTGGAAAATCTCAGCGTCACATTCCTTCAGCAGCTGGACGATCTGCGCCGGGTCAGCCTGGTCCAGTTCCCGTGTGATGGGGTTGGACTTCTCACTGATGGGCAGGGCGGCCTCGTAGCCCGCCAGCTACAAGGTGCCCTGGCAGGGTGAGCCTGGGGCCATGGGACAGGGCAAGGGCTGGCCGGCCGCAGGGACAGCACTGCCTTGCCCAGCCCCGGCCCCAGCCGCTCTCTTGAGGCCCTGACAACAGTGCTTCAAACAGGTTAAACATCACCAGCAAATGGCAGGCTCCTCACTGGGACTGCTGCTGCGGGCATGGCCCTCCGGTGCCCATGGGTGGCCACCCCCCACACCCCGCACACCTGCGGAGCAGCCCTTCTCCACCAGGTTTTGCTGCTGAATGACTCTTCCCAGAGGCATCCCACTGCACACTGTGGGCCCACAGAGGCTTAAACTCCTCTTCCACCATCTGTAACCACGGAGGGTATCCTTCCATATCTAATGCTCCAGCCTTCAAGGTTATGCAGTTCTTCCTGTGCAGTATCCCAACCCTCCTCAATTTTGGCAAATCTCCTAAATTCGGGCCACTGGCCAGCTTCATCAGTTCACTATTTGCTTTGTGTGAAAATTCATAATGAAAATACTCATCTGAGACAAAGCCCCTGGTGTGGCCTATGCAGACCAACCCAGCCATTTCCAGCAATGCAGGCTGCCAGCTGTCCTTACACCAGTGTTTTATCCTAATGACCATTCCTGGCCTGAATCCTATATCATCTCCATTACACTGTTTAGAAAAACATAACTGAAGCCCAGGTAGATGAGATTTAATGGACTTACTTCACTTTGAAAAAATTCTTTTATCTTATCAAAGAGAGCTAGCATGTTAATCTGGCATAATCAGTCTTTGAAAAAAAAATGTTGACATTTTTTGAACTTGTGTTCACATTTCCTTCTAAATTATTCTAAAGTCTTTCATGCTATTGAAGCAAAATTTTCAGGATGTATGTTTTCCAGGTGGTTTTCCCTTTCCTGATTATAAGCATCCCATTCTAGTCTCCAAACAAAATTGCAATGACAGAGCAAAGATATGCTCACAGTTATAAGCTCTGCACCACTGTCTGCCCTTGACAGAGGAAAGAGGGCCATGTTGGTCTGAGCTGAGGACACTTCTGTCCTTGAATCTAGTTAGCAACAACAACAACAACAAAAAAAACAACAACAACGACAAGCCCTCTGTCTGACTTCCCTAGCTGAGTGGAAAAATTCACTTCAGTTACTGGAGTCTCCAAACTTGCATTGAAAACCACCAGGAATTAGTCTTCTACACTAATTTACTTAGCCTCATTGAGCTAGGAGAAAGCAGAATGCTTACTGGCTCTCAGGTTCATTTGAGTCTGCTTTGAAAAAAACAAGCTTTAGGAAAAACTAAAAGATTTGTTCTAGCAATGCAAAAAGGTCAAATTTTTGAGATCACAATTGGAAAGAGATACATAAGTAAGGCATAAAAATAAATACACTCATAATGAAGATATAATAGACTTCAGTCTCTGTCTTTAGCTGTTATTTAAGTACCACATGTGGATCTCAGCAGTAGACACATGCAAGTGATTTCAACATATTCTACAGAGATGCAGTACTCTCTAACGGACCATGTCTTGCCACTATCCCACCCTCTGTTTTATTTACATTGCAGAGACATACAAGAAGAAAAGATGATTGTCTTGGTACATGGCTGCCTTAATTTTTTTGCTTCTATCCATTTCAGCTTGCTGATACCCAGGCAAACTCCCACTAAGACACCCTCCGTTTCTCAGGAGAACAAGGGATGCATTCTTGACAACTATGGGGCTGGCTTCCCTGTGCATCAGTACGCCTGCGAGGAGCTCCTTTGCAGGGCTCTGCTTACAGCTCCCACTTCCCTTGCTAAAAGTAATTGAGCTCGAAGATGAGACATGTGACTGCAATTTACCCTTGAAACCACTGGTGGGGCATAGGGATGCTTTGTCTCTGGCACTATTTTTGGCAAATTTAGACAGACTCTTTCACTGAAGTAGGATAACTGTTCTTATATTCTTATAAAGTCAGAGCAATGGTCCCTGCTGAGGGTCACGGCTGCTGGACACACTAATCTCTTTGGGGCTATAACATCTGCATTTCTGCCCTGAACATTGCTCAGATGCAGAGGCACAGGGAGGGACACATGCCTCAGTACTGTCTGCAGCTGCTCAGAAGGGTCTGCCTTCCTGCAGCTTGCAGTCCCCATCTGCCTCAGGTGGGAATGGAGCCTGGGGGCTGCAATGCCAGAGAAAGGGCCCCTGGCAAGATTGGTTTGGCATGGAGCTGCAGAAAGCAGCAACAAACTACTCTCCCGGATGCTCCTGGCACCAGGTCCTGGCACAGCACATTCCCAGTGCCCAACTGTCCATCCCTCCCCGGGTGAAGTACACCGACCCACACCACACAGGGGTTCTCACCTCCCACCTGCCAGGTTCTGGTGTCTCAATGACATGCCTGTATTTCTTCGTCCCCCGCATCATCCAGCCCCAAAAGGGCACAGCAGCTCAGGCAGTGTCCGCAGGGGCCAGAGCAGGTACTGCTGCAGCCCAGCTGGGTCTGGGTCCAACAAGGGCTGGGCGCTCAGGCTCCACCACTCACTGCAGCTTGCTTCGTCCTACCTTCACCAGCCCTTCACTGTAATCATTAATCCAGACAGTTAAATATCAAGCTGTTGCTCTCTCTTTGTGTCCGGCTGCTGCACCAAGCTACCCCAGCTTATGTCCCCAGGTCTCCAGCTAGCAGCCTGGTCTCCCAGCCCCATCAGGATGAGGGCAATGCCTACGTCATTCCTGCCACACAAGAACAAGCAGCCAAGGCAACCTGCAAGCCGCGTATCGCAGCAGGAACGTGCTGGCCTCCGATCAGAGACAGTGCCAGGGGACCAGCTGCCCGCAGCTGGGAGCCTTGCTCTCCCCAGCAAGGCTGAAAGAGTCCGTGCACAGGTATGGCAACCATAGAAGAAAGCCATAAAGAAAGAAAAGACAAACTTAAAATATACCCAAGCTTGAGCTCTTTAAGCTGCCACTAGATTTTCCCAGAGGCTTGTCATTTGTGTTAGGGAAGGCCCAGCCGCCAGGAGCGCTCTTCCCTGCTCCAGGTGCCCTGTAGTTCTGCTCATGGGAAGCTGCAAGAGCAGCCCTGCATGTAAATGAACGTGTCCCTAAGTCCGCTGCAGAGGCTCTTACTCCCTTCTTTTTCATATTAAGTAATTCTGGAAAACTTCCTGTATTAGCAACCCTGAGCAGCTCTCAGCATTTGTGAGAGTGCAAATGAAGTTTTCCTGAGGCTTGTCTGGAGCTGAAAACCTTGAGAAAGTCTTTTACTGCGTTGATTTTTCCCGTGAGTTTCCTGTCTAGGCACTCATTCAGACTGCAGCCTCTCTGATGGACCCACTTTCAGATACTTTGGCTTGCATTAGGAACTATCTTGAAGACTTGTAACTTACAATATACCTGTTTCACAAATCTCATCTGCACTGTTGTGTGCCAGGCTCACAGCTCTGTTCATTATACATATGGCTTGTGATTTGGGTGCCTGCCCTCCTCCCCATCTTTTGCTGGCTTTGTTTCAGAGTGGAAGGGGAAGGTGTGGTTTCTGCTGGAATTTGCAGGTGCAAGGCCTGTGGGACTGATCTAGTTTGCTTGCTTCGAGCCCCAGCCAATCTACAGGTGGGATGTTGCTTCAGAGGTCTTGCAGGTGTGAATAGTTGAAGTTATCAGGCATTTTTTTTTAATAACAAAAGAAATGGGGGCACCTGTGAAAATCACCTGGCTGCACTCAGTGGCCTGGGAATCTCATAGACCTAGGGGAAAAGCAAGAGGTGATCCCAGTGTTAGAGAAGGGAACTGTAGCTGACTTAGCTTCAGCTTAGCATAAGTCTGAGTCTTGCTTAGCATAAGTGCCTAAAGTAGGTGAAGCCCACAGGCTGTGGGGCTGAACTGTAACCCAAAGAACATTGCTGGTGAAGCGACTGCAAAATCAGCCAGAACCAGCCCTCAAGGATACAGAACAGAGTGACCAGAGGTAACGGCTGACCTTTGGATAAGAGACGGTACTGGGGAGCAGGAACATTGCAACCGACCTGGGATGTAGATGTGCACCAATTAAAGGGAGAGAGACCACTGACTCAGTAAAGAAGATTGGAAGAGACTTTCACTGACAGGTGGGGAAATCAAACTGTAAAAAGTATAATTACTTAAGAATTATTTTGCTCTGGGTCCCTCCCTGGAGGCACGCAGCTCAAGCTGTTACTTTGCTGTACCATCATTTAAATAAATAATTAATTTATCTGTTGCATGTGCGTGAGACTCTGCTCCTCGGAAACCTAGGGTTTAACTGTTTCCACAACACAAGGATCTGGGGAAAAGGCCTGGAAAGGGCAGTTGCTGGCCACTGTGGCTGGAAGCACTGCCATAGGGTGTGTCAGCATTGCTCTTTGCAGGAAGAGGGATGTGCAGGCAAGAGAAGATGCTGCTGGGTCTGCCCCAGCCCGTATCCTCCACTGGTAGCAGCTGCAGGGCAGCAGGTAGCAGCTCTGGGGCTGTGTTTTCGCCAAGCCAAGACCCCGCACAGCCCTGGGCACTGGGCCCCTGGTGGGGACGGCTGCCCCAGACCTGAGGCCTGCCACCCTTAGCTGCCACGGCATCAAGGCTCACAGCTACCTGCTTTTTGCATTAATTCACAACAGGTCTCTGATGGGGCCTGAGCTGGGGCCTGGCAATTCCCATGGTGGGGACCCAAGAGCTGTGGGTGCAGAGACCACTGCCACAGGCGCCAGACACCATGTTGGTGAAAACCAAGGACAGTTCCATGAAAAATAACGTATTTTCCCATATTTTAAAGATGCTTTAAAGAAATACCATTTTCTTTAATGACCAATATTTTGTGAAAGTGTGCTTTCCATAACACCATTACATATGCAATTATAAACTTCAAGCCTTTATTTAAGATGATACTTACTAACAGTTTTTACACACTAAGATACATTATTGGTCTTGGGTATTGATTCATAGAGCACATCACATATTATAATGTTATATAAGTTTAAGTTATATAATTTTAACTTGAAATTTATCTGTTACATGATCAATAATTAACTGATTTCTGCAACTGACCTTAAGAACAAAATATTCTTTCTACAGGTGCATTAGACAAAATATATTAAATAATATTCAGAAATTGAGAAATTTTGGATTCTAAGATACAGTGGGATCTAATATTTTAATAAAAATCTCCCTGACCATGCACTGACACGGTGCTGCCTAATGTGGTACATGATATTCTTCATCCAGACAATTCGTATCCTGGTGGCCTTTTGTTGGTTTCATTCTTCCAATTATATTTATGATCTCTTGAAAAGTGAACATTTTTCTTCAGATAAATTGCCTGAATCTGGATGTAGTAATTCAGGGCTACAAAGATGATGAGGGGACTGGAGCATCTCTCCTATGAAGAAAGGCTGAGGGAGCTGGGCCTGTTCAGCCTGGAGAAGAGAAGATTGAGAGGCGATCTCATCAACGTGTACAAGTATCTGAAGGGAGGGTGTCAAGAGGATGGGGCCAGACTCTTCTCCGTGGTGCCCAGCGACAGGACAAGAGGCAACGGGCACCAACTGAACCACAGCAAGGTCCATCTGAACCTGAGGAAAAACTTCTGTGCTGTGAGGGTGATGGAGCGCTGGCCCAGGTTGCCAGAGAGATTGCGGAGTCTCCTTCCCTGGAGAGATTCAAACCCGCCTGGCCGCGGTCCTGGGCAACGTGCTCTAGATGCCCCTGCTGGAGCAGGGGCGCTTGCACTAGATGATCTCCAGAGGTCCCTCCCAACCTCAACCACTCTGTGATTCTGTGCTTCCGTAATTCTGTTTGCTGAAATTAGAGATTTGGGAGGTGATGTATGCCAATGAATTAAGTCTCTTTCTATTTTTTTTTCTGCTTTTCTATTGTGCTTTTTAAACAGGAAAATATTTCAATGAAAGGGCTTGTCGTTAATTGTCTATTTTCACTTAGCTTTCAAAGAAGGTGTTAAATCATATATTTTGGCACATGTGATCGATTTGTTCTCATTTTAAAACTTAATTCTAAAAAGTAGCATATTATAAAAGGAACTTGATAGCCATGAAAAGCGTTTGGTTGTTTCCATCTTTGTAGTCTTCAACCACTTAAAATTGCAATGGAACAATCCTCTCATTTTATAAAAATACTTTCTAACATCAAGTAACACATTTTTGAATGTATTTTTCAGATATAATTTGCATGTAAACACATTTGCATTTTCATTAGGCATCTTCCATAATTCTGAAACTCTTTTAGTAGATAATTCTCATGATTTACCTACAGCAGATTTTGCCTGATGATGCAATAAAAAACCCCAGGAATTTAGGGAAAGCTAATAATCATTTTCATTTCCCATTAGCCTGCAGACAGACTGGTGTCTGCTGCTCCAGTGAAGGCTCCAAGCTTCCCTGGCTGAATGCTGACCAGACAGCCAGCAAGGACCCACTCCCTCATGCTTGGTTATGTCTTAATCAGTTCATTGCACCCACTAGGTCCGGTCCCTCACCTGCCCTGGGGAAGGTGCTGCTTGGGGACCTTCTTGCTCCCTCTGCCCAAACCGTTCCTCTGCAGGGACACACACCATTGCCTTACGTGCGTGACGCTGCACGCTGCTGGGGTGCTTCCTTCCTGTCTCTTACCATGCAGATGTGCTTAATGGTAGGTCCCGGAAAAAATAACTTGGGCCTTCTGCATGCAAACAGCTGGGTTTCCAGACTTGTCCTGCAGTCATAGGGCAAAGCCAGAAACTGCCAGGCAAGCCTTGCTGTGACTTGAGTGTGCCATTGAAATAGGCTGGTAAAAGATGCTCAGGAGGAGCCTGCTCCGATGCCCATGTCTGCACTGCACGTGACCAGAGTTGGCTGCAGTGAACCCCCACACCACAGGCTGTTTTCTGTGTCGTGCTGCAGGAACAGTCTGCACAGCTCTGGTTACGCAGCTTTGTTGCCTCTGGAGGGCAGCCCACAGGAATATTACCACTTCAGCCTCCATCCTCTTGTACTGGCTTTGCGGTAAAAGCAAGCCAGGGTTTATTTGTCAAAGTTTGAGGTAAATATCTGAAAAGAGAAGTTACAAGCGAAATATAACAGTCCTGGCCTGCACTTGACAGGACGGTCTGGTTCATGCCACCTGCAGGACATTGTTTGAAATACATATGACATGGGTCCCTGTCAAGACAGGCTTTATGAAGATGCCCCAGCCCCTGAGGACTTTCTTGGTGGGAATTTCTCGGGTTTCACTTCTAAAGTATATTAAACAAGTTTCATGATATAATTCATGCCAAAAACATGGATGACTTATCTTAGAAATCATCATCACCGTAATGTTATAATACCAATAATTTCCTGGATTTATCAGTTTTCCTTCTTTTGTCTTTCCTTCACTGCAGTGTTTTGTATTTATCCCTAACCCGCTCCTCCCGTCCAGACAGTCTAACTGCCTTAAAACTTTCTGTTCCAC